AGAACGGGGTACCCACCCACCCCCCAAAACACCTTTCCGGCGTATTTCGACTAACAGCCAGGAAGAAAAACCGCACACATAATTTGCAAAAAACATAACAAAATAGAAGAACTGCGCTCAAGAATCTGCGAACCAGTGCGGGTCTACGGGCCGCGCCTGGCACCAAATCTCTCCATTACCCGCCTTTGAGTTGAGCAATCAAACCACGCACCCGCACACATCAACGACGTCCGACGGCGACGTTAATCATTGATTGCTTTATTATCAGATCAGATTATGTGCGCGCTTCATCCCCAAAGATAAGCTCCAAGTGCTCTCTCCATGTACCTACCACTAGGGGAAAAAGAAGAGAAGTGCCTTGCAGACGCTGGAATCTTCAGCACCGGTTCCTTTCATGCGTCGACGACGACGCCCGCCTTTCTTTCACTGTTCAATGATGAAAGAAACCTGCCTTCTCAGCAAAGAGGCTCCACGTGTAAGGGCACAATTTTTTCAAACGAACAGATGAAAAAAAAATACGACCTAACTCATTTTCCAGTAAATAATTTTCTTATTCCGCGCGCCCGCGGTGAGATTCTATCAACGGCTATCAAGTCAATGGCTCTCGATTTTCACCGGTGACATGCAAATACTGACGGTAAGTTGTTGATAGTTTACAGTTTGGTTTTCCTGACCATCAGGGTCGCACCATTGAGCCAGAAAGATATGCATAGATATATGTACGTAGCTGGTGAATTATTATACGGGCATGGCGCAGTATTCAACACCAACTTCCAAAGCTGGGTGACGAGATCCTAGACAAGGATATACAACAGCTAATGTATTGCATAGGGAAGTTGGACTTTTGCATACCAGAACGAACCGGAGGCTGGCTGCTGGCCCAAGCAACAAGGTCAAACATGAGGAACGGGGCCCACACAGCAGCATTCTCCTTTTCCTCCTCTATGGGCTGAAAAACACGCTAGTGGCAAACGTGCAAAAGGAGCTGATTAGGATGTGAATGCGTCCATAGCGCCTCACCTTTGCCATTTTTCTCTGAGGGAACGGCAGGCAGCTTCTTCCTCCTCCATGCTGCTCTGCGCCACGAACTCATCGCCCATGGTGGTTGCCTAGGCAGTCAGGGTCCGAGTAGCGCAAAGCACCCCTGCGGTAGCCGAGTTTCATGAGAGGGAACCATGCAGCCGCTCAGCTCATCATGCCGTAGCAGCAACAGTAGATACACCACCAAATCGTCCGCACCGTTCGCCAGCCTTGTCGCTGCCGCCCTTTTGCTCTGTTTCGTCTCCCCGGCCCGCTCCTGCACGGAGCAGGAGAGGGGCGCCCTCCTCGGCTTCCTGGGCAGGCTCACGCCGGGCGGCAGCGGCAGTCTCAACGTGTCATGGGTGAACGACACGGACTGCTGCCAATGGGAAGGCGTCCTCTGCAGCGGCGACGGCACGGTCACGGACGTCTTGCTGCCTTCCAGAGGTCTCAGAGGCCTCGTCTCGCCATCCTTCGGCGATCTTCCTGGCCTGCTGCGCCTCAACCTGTCTCATAATTCGCTTGAAGGCAGCCTACCGGCAGAATTGGTGTTCTCCAGAAGCATTACTGTCCTCGACGTCAGCTTCAACCGCCTCGATGGTCCTCTGCAGGAGTTGCAATCCTCAGATACCGGCCTTCCTCTCCAGGTGCTGAATATCTCAAGCAATTTGTTTACAGGACAGTTTCCATCCGTGACATGGGAGGCCATGAAGAATCTGGTTGCTCTTAATGCGAGCAACAACACCTTCACAGGACAAATACCATCTTCTATCTGCAGCAACGCCCCCTTGTTTGACATGCTTGACCTTTGTTTCAACCAATTCAGTGGCAACATTCCCCCAGGGCTTGGCAGTTGCTCCATGCTGAAAGTGCTGAAGGTTGGACACAACAACCTCAGCGGAGCTCTCCCGCCGGAACTCTTCAATGCTACCTCACTGGAGCAGCTCTCCTTACCCAACAATTTGTTGCAAGGAGTTATTGATGGCTCCCACATAGCAAAACTAAGCAATCTGACTGTCCTTAATCTTGGATCGACTGGTCTCAGTGGCAAGATTCCGGATTCTGTCGGCCAGCTAACAAGATTGGAGCAACTCTACTTGGACAACAACCATATGTCTGGTGAGCTGCCACCGGCCCTAGGTAACTGCTCAAATCTCAGATACATTACCATCAGAAACAACAGTTTTACCGGGGAACTTAGCAAAGTCAACTTCACCATGTTGGATCTGAGGACAGCTGATTTTTCATTGAACAACTTCACTGGTACAATTCCTGAAAGTATCTACTCATGCACCAACCTAGTTGCGTTACGGCTGGCTTTCAATCAATTTCAAGGCCAGATCTCACCAAGCATTGGAAATCTCAGGTCCCTCTCCTTCTTTTCAATCACCGGCAACTCTTTTACAAATATCACAAATGCACTTCAGATGCTCAAGAGCTGCAAGAATCTCACCTCCCTGCTTATTGGAACCAACTTCAAGGGTGAAACCATACCACAGGATGAAACAATTGATGGTTTTGAGAAGCTTCAGGTACTCACCATAGATGATTGCCCATTGGTTGGGCAAATCCCGCTTTGGATATCAAAGCTTGAAAAATTGGAGATGCTAGACCTGTCAATGAATCAACTCACTGGACCGATACCATCCTGGATTGATGGGCTGGGCTTCCTGTTCTTTCTAGATATATCAAGCAACAAGCTTACAGGGGATATACCAGCTGCATTGACAAAGATGCCGATGTTACTATCAGAGAAAAATGCTGCTAAGCTGGACCCAAAGTTCCTTGAGTTGCCTGTATTTTGGACACCATTACGTCAATACCGGATGGTCAGTGCTTTTCCCAACAAATTGTGTCTGGACAACAATAATTTCACTGGTGTGATTCCCCCTGAGATTGGTCAGCTAAAAATGCTTGACATCCTTAATTTAAGCTCCAACAGCTTAACTGGTGGAATACCACAAGAAATCTGCAACCTCACAAACCTGCAAACACTCGATCTGTCGAACAACCAGCTCACAGGTGCAATACCATCTGCACTGAATGGTCTGCACTTCCTTTCCAAATTTGATGTTTCCAACAACAAGCTAGAAGGGAAAGTTCCAAGTGGAGGACAGTTTGATTCTTTTTCAAATTCTAGCTACAGTGGGAATCCAAAGCTATGTGGCCCTATGATCAATAATGACTGCAACTCAACATCATCTTCAGCGTCCCCAAGACGGTGGAACAAGAAGAACATTACTGCCGTTGGATTAGGTGTGTTCTTCGGCGGGCTTGCCATTCTGTTCTTGCTGGGACGTCTGCTTATGGCCCTCAGAAGAACAAACTCTGTCCACCAAAACAAGGGTAGCAGCAATGGCGACATAGAGGCAAGTTCATTTACCTCTGCATCAGATGACTTGTGCAATGTGATGAAAGGAAGCATTTTGGTGATGGTACCTCAAGGCAAGGGAGAATCAGGCAAAATCACCTTCCATGATATCTTAAAGGCCACAAATAACTTTGACCAGCAGAACATCATCGGCTGCGGAGGTAATGGTCTGGTTTACAAGGCAGAACTGCCAAATGGACCCAAGCTTGCCATCAAGAAGCTCAACGGCGAAATGTGTCTGATGGAAAGAGAATTCACCGCAGAGGTTGACGCACTCACCGTGGCGAAACACGACAACCTTGTGCCTCTATGGGGCTACTACATCCAGGGAAACTCGAGGCTCCTCATATATTCTTACATGGAGAATGGCAGCCTGGATGATTGGCTTCACAACAGGGACAATGGCAACACATTGCTTGACTGGCCAACAAGGCTAGAGATTGCACAAGGAGCAAGCCGGGGCCTTTTCTACATCCACAATATCTGCAAGCCACACATTGTACATCGTGATATCAAGTCCAGCAACATCCTTCTCGACAGAGATTTCAAAGCTTATGTTGCAGATTTCGGGCTTGCCAGATTGATCCGTCCCTATGACACACATGTCACAACTGAGCTGGTCGGCACTCTGGGTTATATTCCTCCCGAGTACGGGCACGCATGGGTGGCCACACTGAGGGGAGACATATACAGTTTTGGAGTGGTGTTGCTTGAGCTGCTCACAGGGAAAAGGCCCGTCGAGGTCCTGTCCAAGTCCAAGGAACTTGTCCAGTGGGTACGGGAGATGACGTCCCAGGGAAAGCATATTGAAGTCTTGGATCCAGCGCTGAGAGAACAAGGGCATGAAGAGCAAATGCTGAAGGTGCTTGAAGTTGCTCGCAAGTGTATAAACCATAATCCTTGCCAGAGGCCAAGCATCCAAGAGGTGGTATCCTGCCTGGAAAATGCAGATGTGAACCTGCAGACGGAAACGTAGTTAAAAGTAGAACAGATACAGGTGGTAATCTTGTGCTTTGCTAGACTAGGTGTAAACTGAGTAGAAGGATTTTTTTCTAACAGATCGTACAGTCGTGTGTGTAGTGTACATCTCTGTACAGAAAAAAAAAGGCTTGTAGTTGTGAGCCCATATATTCAATTTTGCCTCTTTTTGTGTGTGGAAACATTTCAGCTCCAAACCCGGTTCCACAATTACGGAAAATGGTATTCTTGCGCTTTGCTAGACTAGGTGTAAACTGAGTAAAAGGATTGTTTTCTAACAAATTGCACAGTTATGTGTGTAAGCTGAGTAGAAAAAAGGCTCGTAGTTACGAGACCATATATTCAATTTTGCTTTTTTGTGTGTGGAAACATTTCAGCTCCAGACCCCGTTCCATGATTATGGAAAGTGGGTTGACACGCGCCCCCGGGTGCTGTTTGAGAAAAGAGAAGTCGGTTCAGAGCTGTTGCTGAATTCATCTTCATTTATTTGAGCTGCCTCAGTGCACCTCCGAGAACAATCCTGCAAAACAGAGTGGGAACATGTTGGTATGCTAGCGGAATAATTTCGATTTCTCTGAGAAAGGCGCACAACGTGGGAAGTCCAACATTACAGCACCTAGTTGACTAGTTGTTCCTATGACACTGGATTCATTTCTGAGACCACAATCACGCGCATATGGCTTTACCAAGTCCTAACTGTTGCCATCGGAGAGCTAATTTCAGTACTGTGACAATATGAGGTGGGGGGATCGAAGCAGATTCAGATTCCAGAGCACAAGGAGTTCAATCCACGGGTCACGGACAACACATTGTAGCAGACTAATAACGATTTCTTCGAGCGCCATGAACAATCGCATCTACGGCATGAGGCGGGTTTGCTAATGGACGGGCACCGCACCGAAAGAAAAAACAGCAGCGGCAACAACAACCAAATCAAATGCCTAGGGTATCAAGTCGTTACCCCGTGCCGACCCTCAGCCGTCGCGCCACCGCAGCGCCTCGCCGCCGGCTTAACGCTTCCGATGGTTGCGCTTGCGCCCCGCGGCGGAAGGGGAGGCGGCCTCGCGTCGCCGCGGCCGGAGATGGGCGAGGGGGGCAGTGGCAGACGGTGGCCGCGGTTGGCACGGCCAGAGCCCAGAGCCCATTTGGGCAAGTTTGACAGGGCCCCAGGATTGCGGGCTGTTTGATTTGTTTTGAGACAATTGCGGGCCGTTTGATCTTCAGGAGTCCTGAGATGAGCGTGCAAACCAATTGTTTTGACAGGGCTGCAGCCCATTAAGGTTTGCACGCTCGCTCGCTCAGTTGTCTCGCCGGTTCCAGGAACAATATTTCCTTCAAAACAATTGGTGGATTCGGACGCAAGTGACATAATGAAAACTGTGCCACCTTTGTTCAAAAAAAAAAAACTGTGCTACCTTCGTGGAGATGGTCTATCTCGGTTCTTACTATAGCAAGAAACTTCAAGACAGCTACAGCCTACAGCAAGATCGCATGATATGTCTGAAACAAAATGATGCAAGCCAGACCCAAAATTTACGAAAAAGGGTTTCCCCCACTTTGTATTACAAAGCAACCATCGATACATCCAACGATAGGTGCTGGGGCCGCAGCACAAACAAGCCCAAAAAAATAGAGAAGAAAGGAAGAGAAACAAATGCCAACAACGGCAGATCGACGAAACGAAGATGACCGGCGACAGTTGCACCCTCCGGAGAAGTACCACCACGTTCCCAGTACCCGAAGCACCGTGTACCAAGCAACATCTTCAAGAAGAAGGCGACGACGACGCCGCTGCTGCCCGGACTAGTCCTAGGGTTTCCCCCGGTACGAGGAGGGCAGTGAGGGGAGGGGTGTACCCGACGCCCTTCAGGAAGGTCCGACGGCACCCACAGGCGTCGGGGTCGGACGAGCCGCCAGAGATTTCTTCCAACCCAAACCCCCACCACCACCCAGACGAATCATAGTGCACCGCCCATCGTGCCGCCCACCAACATGTGCCACCACGGTCATCGAATCAACTTTGTCGTCTCCCTGAGGTCACTGACACGAGACCTGGAGGATGGGAGAAGGGAGAGTGGCCTTGGGGGCATCCGCAACATCACCGACGTGAGGGGACAACCACCACCGCCACCGCGGAGCCGATCGGACGCGCGGACAAGGGGCCTCCCAGGCATCGAGGCCCGGCCGGACCCAAAAGGGTCCGGACAGCCCCTGCCGTCACGCTGCAACTCGCTGGCCGACGAAGCCGCCACCGCCCGCAGACCACCTCCACTTCACCACCAACCAGGGAGCAGCGCCGCCACGCACCGACTCGCCGGCCCGCCCTAGCCCAGATGGAGCCCGAAAGGGCCCAGATCTGGGCCGCGCGGGCGCCGTCGGCCACCAGCACCGCCACGTCGCCATGCGGCCAACGGCCGCGCCACCGCACCGAGAACCACGGAGCTCACCGGAATCCCGCCGCCGAACCCCACCGCAGCCGTCGAGCAGCATCGCCGCCATCGGGAGGCCCCCGCGCCCCCCAAGAGCGAGCGGGGAAGGGACGGCCCGCCGCCGCCAGCGTC